GTCTCTTCGCTTGCAGATTTCTTATATTTTTTCTTCTACCCTGAAGATGGAGGCGATACGTTCCTCCGAAACGTCGGTTAACACCACATATACACGGTGCCAAATCCCAGAAGACTGCTTTCTTCAATTGCAGAAGAATTCGCGGTGTCTTACTGAAAGACGCTGAGCCAACGTTTACCCAGACTGACAACCACACAAAACCTGAGCCACGACTGCTTTGACCCACACTCGAGTTGAGTGCGTCTGCCTTCTGAATACATTCCAGATTATGACTTGTTCAGAAGTTAGCATTCCCCTTTGTATTCATTCTCCGAGAGGCCACTTATTCTATGCCAGGTTTGGAAACCGGCTATCATAACCTAGATTTCTTTGTAGTTTCTCTTAGTCCCTTAAAGGAGTATTCGGGTTAATGTCTTAAGACAGGATTTACATTACTCCCAGTCCCTCATTCACAACCGTTCACCAATTCGATGTCATGTAACATACACAGTTGTGAAAACGAATAAAACTGTGAGATTTGAGGCTTTTACGGCGGTGAATATGAAGAATTCTATCTTCTGGGATGTTGCGCCGTGTAGATATTGCGTAAACGGACGTTTCGGAGGAACGTATCGCCTCCATTTACAGCGTATAACAAAAATTCCGCGAGCGAGGAACCAGCTTCATGCCTTATATTTCTGAAATTGTTTCCATACTTTCGGTCTGATCCTACATGCATTGCAGTTTGGCTTGTTTCCTTTAATCAGATAGTTCTGAATATACTTCGTCGAACCAGGCTGATGCTGCTTCAGTTCGGAATAACCTAGATACTCTTATGCTGAAATGATATTCTCTCTAGTAGTTTTCCAAGCTCTGTTGATGTCCGCATTATCATCTCAGTTTTCCAAAGCTGCGAATCTGTGTGAGATTTTACTCCACAAGCCATGAACAAAATCTGAGGCGAAAAAGGTTTGAGGCGATATATGTAGAACCCTAGTCTACACTCCAACAGTCACAGATTTGTTCAAAAACAAGTCAGAACTGACAGCGAAAATCGGATTATAATTAACAGAGAAGATTACAGAGAAACTCTGCTGTTCAGTGACCCATGCGATGGCTGTTCATGGAATGAAAGGAAGAATTAGAAAGAAGCGCCCTCTCAGAAATGCAATCAATATACGAGTCAACCCGAAACACAAAATACAGTTTACAAATTAGGGGAAATTTTGCCTCTGGTTATTCAGATGGATGAAGTAGGTTAGCCGTAATTGCAATTGCACGAAATCCTGATTTTTTGTTCTCTGAATTGACTGCAAGAGTGTAACACAGTTACATTCACCTAACCGAAACAACAGAAATGCCATATGGCATGGTTATTTCTTATTTGGATATTTTTAAACGAAGCTGCTTTATTCGGACCGCTTCTGTGATCTAGTGGCTAGAGTTCCTGGCTACAGGTCCAGAGGTCCGGGTTCGATTCCCAGCGCTACCACATTTTCTGAGAAGTTGTGGGTCTGGAACGGGGTCCACTCAGCCTCGTGAGGATAATTGAGGAGCTGCTTGAATACTCCGGCCTAGAAAACAAAAATGAACGGCCGTGGGGATTCGTTGCGCTGATCACTCGACACCCTCTATCCGCTGAAGTTGGCACTAACTTCACCGACAAGCGGCGGTCGCTAGGTCGGTATAATTCCCTTGCGGACTAAAGCCACCAAGTTTGCTTTGTTTATAGCTGCTTTATTCGTCAGCTATTTCCATTTCCGTGTTACCAACTAAATATCCTGGTGCAGCCTGGCCTATTCTGCTCTGAGTAAATCGGGCCATTGACATTCATTCCTTCTGCTCTGTGTTAACAGCTTAAGCGTGCTGTTTGTTGGAGATTTGAAGTTACTATAGAAATATGCGCCGGTCACGGTAGCCGAACGGTCTAAGGCATGCACTGTCTTCTCTCGCTCGGAAGCCGGGGTTGTGGGTTCGAATCCCACTCAGGACATGGATGTTTAGTTTGTGTGTGTGCGTTTTTCTGTGTTTGTGTACAGGTAGAGGCCTTGCGACGAGCTGATCACCCGCCCAAGGAGTCCTACCGAATGTGTAAGCTCTAGAAAAACCGAAGTGGACGGAGAAGTTCATGGAGGTAGGCCTAGGCCCACTGGGGCTGTAGTGCCAAGGAAAAAAAAATAGAAATATGCAAAAGAAACACGTCTTCGAAGGAACCATATGATGGATTGGATTAATGGTGCTGTATCAATAAGCACTTGTTTAACGTAGAATAAGGTGGGCGGACGAAATCGGAAGGATGAAACAGGATGTGTAATTGCCCTATTTAGGACACTTCCCCTGAATTGGTTTGAAATGACGGAGGATAATCACGATGAACTTCAGTCAGAATCGCTAGTGTCCCAGCCTGAACTCTTCCATTACAAATGAACGTGTCATCACTTGAGCTCACCCCTTTTAATAAACAGGAATTTTGTTCGTGTTTCCGCATTTGTTATAGGTAAATATCAAGGTAACACCTTAAAATAGACTTCGACCATTTCCTTTCCACTTTTTCCAGTTCATTCTTCATAACCTTCTTAGTAGCTCATGACTCTAAATAGCGCATGATGTTGATATGGCTTCATTAAATAGCCTAAGAACCAAGGTCTACTCAATATAACATCTGCAGTTGAAACAGCTACTGTAAGTAGCCCAACTATTAGTAACTGATTAACGCACTTGAGTTCTTTTCTTTCAGATTCTTACCAGGAATTCACCATCTTTGTTATTCAGCTTCTTTCGAAGAGTGAAGCTCTGTACAAACCATGTGCTACTTTCAAAGGCCGTTTCCAGAATCCGCGTGTCTTATTCTCCTGTAATGATGGCCTCGGACACCAGGGACGTTATGTGTACATCCGAGATGACAGGCGTGATCAGGATTACTTCAGCCTCTGTGAGGTGGAGGTGTTTGCATACAGAGGTAAGACATGTTCTTCCACTGACATTTTCATTTCCTCAGATTTATCTATTACCAAATTAGAATGTTGTGGAAGAAGTAAAGGAACAGCAATCAAATTAGAGACACAATGTAAGCATGATGCAAGATAGTGGATTAACAAAGGGCATACTTACATAACCGCCAGTCATGTCTCTCTATCTGTCCATCCCATCCTGTTTCTCTGAAAAGGCACACTGTAGAGAAAAATGGTAAAGTCAAAATATCATGCGTCTTAGTAATTTATCTGCAAGTATTTAATAATCTGGAGAAACTGATCCATTTCATTTTACCATTGAGCTTTTTAAAATCTTTTCACAAGTTCCATGATTTACAGATTTCTGACAGTAAGGTCTGCTGAAGTGCTCCATACCCACTGGGTGACATCATTGGCTATTTGTTCTTGCCAATAATGTTGTTTTTTTGGGGACGGAATAGAAACACCAAAAAGAATAATGCTGAAGTTCTGCTACAGATCAGCAAAGAAATCAGTACAAGAGTAATTACAAGTTAGTTAAAATTAATATATAAAGCAAACTCGGCAACAGTAATATATCATTAGATACTGTGTTCAAAGTTTAATTATCTGTGAACATCATTAACAAACAAGAATGAAGTTCATAAACAAATTATAAGAAGAAGGAAACTGTAAATGATCATTACTCTTAAGTTAAAAGAAATATATCATCCTGTTTACTTCAAACAACATTGAAGCTAAGGGTTTGCACCTACACAATACTACAAAATGATAATACTGCCATTTGTTTTGTATTTGCATGAAATTTTATCTCGTTACTTCAAGGGAACAACATAAATTTTAAGTGCAAATAACCAGTGTAGAATATTTTGCAAGTAGGAAACTGTGATTTTAACTGTCACTTAATGTTGTACATGTAGTGAAATCTAGAACACTGTGATGGGATAGGCATGTAGCCAGGACTGAAGAGACAAGGAGTGTATGCACAAGTCTGTGAGGTAATATTCTGAAAATTGGCTAAGTGGAAGACTAAGAAAGAAACTGGAATAAGGTGGAACTCTGGGAAGACTGTAAGAACGGGGGTCAGATACAACTAGTGAGGACCATGTTGTGTTAAATTTGTTATTAGCAGTGTTGAACTGTAAGGTTATGCTACCAGAGTGTTCATTACGTTATCAATTCATCAGTATGTGAAACAGCCCATTAATGCCGTTAATATTGAATACTTACATCACAAAATGTTTTGCTATGTGTGAAAAGTTCATAAGCATAGCAAGATCAGAAGTGAGACTTGGAAGGTCCTTAGAAAACTAAAACTTTGACAGTACAAAAAAAGGAGAAGAAGAGTTTATAAACTTTGAAGAATTTCTGTAGTCAGATGAAGGAATTTAGAGTCATGAAGCATTTGTTTTCATAGAATTTTGAAGGCTGTTTTGATAGTAATTTAATGACATTGCATCAGCAGCAAAGGATATTAGTGTACATGAGATGAGATTATGAATAATGGAATGGAAAGGACTTGGGCAGAAGCAGTGATAGAATTAACCTGGAGAAACTGTAAAACACATGCCAAACTTCATTCAGAATAGTCAGTTCTTCAGAGAGGTTTAGAACCAGATAAATGCTGACCATAAATCATATTTTATGGGTTTCATACATGTGCATTTGCATGTGCTTGTATTGTGAGAATTACTTCAGATTACATGTGTTGCTTTCAGATGAGAGCATATGTGGGGAGCCTGAAGAGCCTGTAGCAGGCCATGTATTAGTTGGTTCTGATGGGGTGGCCATCTATTCGTGTTATTCTGGTTACCAGCTTCTGGCTGAACCAAACCGAACTTGTGAAAGGGATGGTCACTGGATGGGACATGCCCCACAGTGTGAAGGTATGCACAAAATTTACACATAACTGAAAGAATAAGAGAATTGGATTTGTGTGGATTCTAAGAAATATTGATTATTTTAACACTAAATGCTGCTACAAGGAAATGTTTGTTTTGTGATCTCCGAATCCAAATCCAGGAAAAAGAGGTATGGGACTTGGCACAACATGTCTAGATTTAAGAGAAGTTGAAATTTCAGGTGCATCCTCCCCACTGTCTAAAACATCTGGGTTGTCATAAAATAATGCAGGCTATGGTACAGGTGCACCCACTGCACAATACCATACCATACCATGATTTCAGACACTACTCAGACATGGTAACATTGCACAGAAGTTGTAACTGTATTTAATTCAAAAGAAAGTATGTTGCACTTCTGGTGTCCCATAATTTTTCATAAATTTGGATGCATGGCTGAAAACATCCTCATATAAAATATTTTTGTAATATGTACTTTTTAGTGATATAAATAATAGTTTATTTTGTGTCTCTCTTTTACCCGCCATAGAGATGTCAAATGTCCTTTAAATCTGAAAGCTAAACTGTCTGCCATCCTTGCTTTTCTAGGTATCAACTGCAAGGATATATTGTAGTGATGCATCTTCATCACATTAAATTTCGTTAAACCATCACTCTAAATAGAGGCAGACACGTGTATGTGTGTGTATGTGCCCAAGCATGTACGTGCATGGTTATTTTTATATCGATATATGATTAGGCTAATTTATGCTAATTTAAACTAATGTGTTCATGACCTAAAACTTTTCACCTTAAATTCCATTAAAAATAACATAATTTGATTCATATTATTGTTCCTTCATCTGAGTATCCAGCCTGAATAATCACCAAAACTTGGGATACATGAAGTACTATATTTCAGTGTACATTAATAATCATAATAGATATCCAAGTGACATTTAAATAACCATGTCTTTTCTGACCATATCAGAGTGTTGACAGTTGCTGAACTAATGGTTGTTTCATTTTGTATGTGTGTTGCAAAATATAAAGTACACAATAATTCTGATAATTGCAGACAATGATGCATAATTTATCTATAATTTATAATTTATCATAATTTATCTATACATCATTATCTATAATGAACACTTCACAATCTCAGATATCATCATTAATCACTGATGTTAATTCTTTTTTGTATAAAACCCATAACTTTATTGTTACCCTTTGTTTAATTTGCCCTGCCTTTTCTATTTTGTATTATTTACCCATATCTGCTTCCATGATGACACCTCTACTATGCTGTGTTTCTGGCTGCAGGAAAAGTGCCAGTGATCCATAAAAATTGTAGTTTTCTGAATAAATATATAGATCATATTACATTTTGATGAAATGGATATGATAACCTCACATGCATAGTGTTTCCCTATAACACACAGACCTCCATATTTTAGGTCTGTACTCTCATAATTACTTGTATGAAGCAGGACATTAAAACTTCTGGATGAATATTCCAATAAGTAGATACACGTTACACATGAGACATTGCAGACATCTTCCAGGCACTAGACTATAAATGTGATATAGTGTTTCAGCCCTTTGCCTCTCATATTTTTTAAGCATTGAATCACCCTTAAAGAGATTTAATTGCAGAAATGTCAATATCAATTTGCCATATGTTAATTCTGTTGTAGTGGGAAGAAACATATAGTGTTTCTTTGAATCTGGCAGCAAAATTCAGAACTTCACAAAGCATATAATAATATGAGTATATTTTGAGGAAAAAAAAAAACTCAACAGAATGAAAATCAGTAAACATGGGGTTGACGTAACAGACACCTTACCTAGGAGGCAAAGATAATTAGGGTGGCTGTGGGCCAATGAATGAAGGTCAGTTATCTGACTAATGTCTGGATGACACCGACATTTGTAATTTCCATATCTTCATTGGCCCTAAGGTGGACTTGGGCTCTGAACTACTGAAACCAACAGTTTAATATCAGAGTCTCAGAATATGTGGAGCCCTAATTTCATGTATTCCTTCCACCGTTTTGATGGCACAGTAGTCATTGATAATTTTACTTTGATTTGATTGATTTGATGAGTGCATTGCAGAGCATTTTTGTCAAGGTTAGCCTGTTAAACATGCCATAATGCCTGTGCAGAAATCCTGTGTGATTCTCCACCAACACCCTCGTTTGGTTTCCTGGATGAAGCTGAGTTAAGGATCAAATATCCCTATAATAGCCGAGTTAGATACAAATGCCAATCTGGTTACATCCTTTGGGGAAATACTTCCAGTGTTTGCACCGAGAGGGGCATTTGGTCTGGGAAGGCCCCTCAATGTAAACGTGAGTCTTGGAATTCAAAGTAATAGCATTAAATTGAAATTGTTTGAAGTTAGAAAGTTAAGTGATTTATTCTTGTTTACTCTCTAACAACATGTACATAAGAGTGCTAGGTTTCATACAGAGTGGGTTTAGATGGAGATAACATCCAATTCGTAACTCCCCCCCCCAAAAAAATTATTTCTCTGTCTTAATTCTTAGGAATAATTCAATTTCATGTAAGACTTCCAATGTTAGTTTCAGTGTCATTTCTTATGTAAATGGTAACAGTTATTTTTTCTTAAAACACATTTTTGACTGTACTTTAAAATCAAAGAAAGAGGTGCAGATGCCAATATTGTAGTTCCAGTTAGTTGCTTATTGGTTGTAATTACAGCATTTATAGGCATGTGGACTCTCTGTTGATTAAATTACTATCCAGTAATACAAGGTGGTTCAAATATGACCGGGACTGATTTTTTTTTAAAAACCATAATTGCCAAACACTTACCTGCTCATGCCATTCTTCAATATACTCCCCTCCAGAGTCAACACATTTTTTCCAACGTTCTGGAAGCATCCTGATGCCCTTTTCAAAAAAGGCTTGTGGTTGGCGGCATATCCACTCCCGAACAGTCTGGATGACGGCGTCGTTGTCCACAAACTACATGCCTTGCAAGTCTGATTTGAGCCTTCTGAACAGGTAGAAATCAGTTGGGACCAAATTGGGACTGTACGGTGGATGTGTCAGAAGGTTCCATTTCAGTTTCCAGAGGGTTTCCATTCTTGTTTTGGCTGTATGGGGGCGTGTATTGTCCTGAAGGAAGGCTACCCATTTTCCACCTGTCTTCCACTTGGATCAGAACTTTTCCTTCATGTCTGTTGCCAGGAGGTNCGACTGGCAGCTTGCATGCCCACCATTTTGTTCACATCTGTCAAAGTGCGTGGTACCCACCGTGCATTCACCTAGCGATAGTGCAGGTGGTATTTCACGATGTGTTCTACACTACCAACACTGATGGACAGCATTGCTCCAAGTTCCTTGATATTGATGTGCCTATTCTCACAAATAAGCACGTCTGCATGATCAATGTTTGGCTCGGTGATGGATGTTTGCAGCTGACGATCATGCGGTTCATTCTCCACGCGCTCTCTGCCCTCTCTGAAGCACTTACACCACTCAAACACACTGGTCCATGGGAGAGACTCTTCCCCATACTGTTGTTGGAGTCTGTGGTGCATTTCAGCAGACGGGATGTTTTCTCCAACAAGGAATTTGATCACAGTGCATTGTTCCACGCTCCATGGTACCTTCTGTTTGCTCATCACTCTAGCACAGACAGGACTTAACAGGTTCTAACCCTAACAGGAGGGAGGTTGGAGGTTGTGGCTTCACTCTCTCAAGGTCGCACAGCTGCTGTGCAGTGCCGCTTGTTTACACACAAATCAGTCCTGGTCATATTTGAACCACCTTGTGTACTATTTAAAGCACTTATTTTATTTCCTAAGTGCAAAAAGACTGAAAAGGTAGCTGTGCACTAATTGTAAGGGCAGTCTGTCATCTGTTATCAGCCAATTTATGACACAATTTCCATCATTATGGAAGATACCAAACATCTCAGTTGGTTATAAGAAGGGTTTCGAGACACAACAGTGAGGGTAGATGTAACAGTGAACATTGACTGATCTGTCTCTGTCTGCAAAGGTTGAACTTGTTAGTTTGTTCCATCCTCAGACATGAAGCATTTTTGAGGATTATTAACAACACTTTGTTACTTGAGCAGGTTACCAACCTGTTGTTGGAGGGTCGTGGATTATTATTTGGGGTCTTTTTCCCTCACACAAGTTGTCTCTGATGGCTAACAAGTAGTATCTGCCCACCTCATAACCCTGGGAAGGGTCCCTTACTAGGTGCTTCCCACTTGGCTCATGGAACCTGAAGCTCACATAAGGCAGGGTCACCTATCCCTGTTGTTGGACTGTCTCTTGTGACAGTTCCAACTTGCTACCCTTCCAATTTGTCTTCAGTACAGAATATTAGTTAATTAAAACTCTTTGCTATTTTGAGCCCCAAAATGTCCATCAGATGCTTTATACATTGTCACAAATAATGATATTTTTAACAATGGAAATACGTAGAAATACTTTCAGAATATATGTTGTTGCTAACTTTATGTTTACTGTCTCATAATTAGTATTATGGACATGAAGATTTTCCTTGCACTTTACTCATCATCGAATTGCATGTGCCATAAAATCTAAGATGCACTCTGGTTTCAGAAATGTTAAAATTTTGAAGAAGAAATGCATCTTGGAATCAGGGGAAATACGGTATAGTAAATTGTTAATAAATATTAATCAGTTAATTGATATGTAAATGAGTATCCCAGTGTGAGCCACCAAGCAGTGCTAGGAACAGGCTTTTGCTCTTATGTGGAACTACAGCATTGGCATAAATGGAAGACAACTAAACAGAAAATAACAGTAATTTAAGCAAGACTGTAAAAACTTGATGTTTTTAAAAAATTATGGTGTCTCCTTCCTCCTTGGTAATATTTTGTTTTATTTAGTTCACTCTTTAAATTTTTTCTATGGTCATTTTCTGTTACATAAGCCATCATATTTCACATTTATATATATTAAATGAAGAAATTTGAATTCGTATTAAATATTTGGAACCTAAATTAGTGTAAAATAAACATTTCAGTTCTTCTGTTAGCGTAATATACCATTTTTCAGTAGTGAAGATAATTTCGTAGTATGGTGACAACATATACTTGACAGTGAATCACTTTAATTAAGTTACTGACCTTGCCATCATAACTCGTTACTGATTTCAGGTTTCAGTTGCTGTTAATGGTTCAAAGATGCACCATCCCTTAGTGTTTCTGGTGTGCCATAACTTGAATCTGAGTGTGTTATAATTTTTAATTCCTATGGATTTCTACATATTAGCAGTATCTCATCTCACAAAGTGTTATAATATGAGTGATATACAAGTATTGTTACTTCATCAAAATTTATTGGTTAAGCTGTTAAGCTGTTGCTGCCCTGATATTGAAAATTCAGTCAGCAAAACACAATGTTTCAGAGACTGGACTGTGCTTGATTTATATTTCCTGTCATATGTTGATTCTGATGTCTGGATATAGGGACTAGCTCTAACAATTTGATCCGATTAGGTTCCACCTGAAGATGGAAACAGATTCTAGTTTCTGAAACGTTTTTATATAAAAACAGGATGATGGATAATGTCCAGAAACACAATAATTATATTAATCTATCATTATCACAAAATTTTAGACCTTATTTACAGATTTTATAGTTTGTAGTTCTGAACCTCGTAAGCATGAAGGCTGGTGTTAACCATACAGTGTCTTTAGCCCTCATGCTTCTGAAGTAAAGATTTTAATTACATTATATATTTCTTTACACTTTTTTCAAACTACACGTTATGAAACCAGATTCTTGTTTTTTTAATTAGAGTGTTTTATTTGTTACCCTCATCACTTAGTACTTAATACTAAAATGTTGGTAATGTTTAATCTCATCTATGAGCTGCAGTGCATATTACAAGCAGTTATATAAGCAAAAAAGTATATTGAGCTATGAAGAATAATGCAAGTGGAATCTGTACATGCTTACATACTAGATTTATAAAAATATGTACATGGCTTGTTGTGCCAGAAAGATATTTAACAATATTATAATATACCACCACTTTCAAATGTTTAAGAAACACTGCCCTACCTTACACAACTGATAACTTTATTGTAAGAATATGCCTAGTTTCGCTGTATTCTTGGGTTAAGAACAGTATGAGTATTTCATAAACAAAATGGAAAGGATAAGTTGCAGCTTTATTTGCAGCCATCACCTGTGGATACCCTCAGCTGTTCCCACATACTGACGTGCATCTGCTTAATCAGTCCACCCTCTGGAACTCTAAGGTCATATACACATGCAAGGCAGGGTATTCCTTCACTCCAGGTATGCTGATCTGAAGTTCACAAACTCAGTGTAATATGAAAATACACGTATTTTATATTTGTCATTGGTTCAAAGGTTATGAAACTATGATTATCTGACTACTGTGTATGATCACATTTTTTCCATAGCATAAGGCCTCATTAAGTAATTTATATGCTTCTGTTTTCATATGTCATCATGTCAAAGAGAGAACAAATTTTTGCTGTTAAGCAGAATTTGATATTCATGTTGGATGAATTCCCTGTTTAAGTATATCCTGTAATTGAATATGCAACTGTTATGCCACTTAGTAAGATCTGAGGTTTTCACGATGGTGACTATGAAGAAAGCAGTCTTCTGCACTGAGCCGAGCGGACCCAGTCAGATTCCACCCCCCACTAAGCGAATTTAATATGCACCTTCACTACAATATTTTGTTATTAATATTTTGCATATTACTTTATATTTCTTTGACTGACTATGAATTGGATGGGCGAGGGGTTAGACTTGAAGTCCCGGTAAGGACAAAAATTTTCTCCTCTCTATGTCATCCAGACTGGTTCTGGATCCCACTTACCGTTGTATCCAGTGGGTTTTCAGGACTCTGTCCCCGGGATTAACGTGGCCACTTCCCCATATGTCTTCATGGCATAATGCTTAAATGGTTAAGCACAGAGACAACTTTACCTTCTTCAAAATTTGTTACTTTTTATTTGTTTGCATCAGTGATCTAGCTCTGTGTGTAATTGGCTTTTCTGGTATTATCAAACAACGTAATAATTAAAAAAATTACTGTTTTCATTCTCATATTCATTGCTGATGGTGGTAGTGTTGTCATCATTATTGCTGGTAGTGGTGATCATAGTTAGTTGCAGTAGTTGTCATAGTAGTGGCAGCAGGAGCAGCAGTTGTAACAGCATTTGTATCACCACCACTGTTACTACTACTACTACTACTAATAATAATAATAATAATAACAACAACAATAACAGCAATAATAATAATATCATTATTACTGTTATCATCATCACCACCACCACCACCATCACCATCACCACCACCACCACCACCACCACCACCACCACCTGCTCCTCTTACTGCTGTTGTTAGCGTTAATAAGATTGGTTATCCATTCTCCTTTTATTTGATTGAAGGTTTTAAACTTGCCAAGGGAAATGTATATCAGTGCTAATTTTCCTATTGATCTTCAATACTTCCATCATTCTGAGATTTCTGAAGTGAGCCAGCCTCCCATTCGGTTAAAATCTGTTCAACCCAGGTTAATTTGAAAAGTAATGCTGAGGATCTTGTAATCTGGTTTACAAAGAAGAGGCTCTGAAAAAATTAGAAGTAATTGGTGACTGGTCAAAGCCCATGATAGATATCTGTGGTTTAAAATTGTTGCCTCAACTACCTAGTGATATTACAGTAAAAGTATTTGTGTATTTCAGGTGTAATTGATACAACAATTTCCTGCCTTAGTTCTGGGTCTTGGGAAAAGAAAGACATCACCTGCATTCCTGATGATGACAGAAACTTGCCAGTTAAATTAACGGGCAAAGAGTGGGGGCAACAGCCTGAGGATCCGGGCAGTGATTCTGGAAGTAATGGCTTGGGAACACCAGGAATTATATCAATTGGAATATTCTGTATCCTCCTCATCATTATCTTCTCTGTTCTAGGCATCTTGTTGGCCAGAAGGTAAAGTACATTCTTTAAACAGTTACCTTTTCTCAGTGTAAATTAGTTTTCATATTATTGTAGTGTTACATTATTTGAATTTTAAAACATTGGAATTATAATAGCATCCACATTTATGGGTGTTTGAAGATAGTTATTATAAAAGTCCATCTTTTATGCATTAGAAAATTTGTTGAGCATATTTTTAGGACATGAAGCACACATGATTTTCTATACAGTTTGTAAGCTCAAAATGAGAAAACTGTTCATCTGAAAATCTTTATAGCACAAATATTACATGTTATATTGTCAAATACATAGATAATTTTTTCATATTAGGTTCAAGTCCAAGAAGGCAACTCATTCAACCCCTCAGTCATCCACTAATGACCTGATCATCGGTAATGCAAAGGATGGCACATATGATGATGTGGCAGCCCCAGTGTTTCAAACAGTAGTCGCTCTTCAGCCCCAGTGCCTCTCCACCACCAGAAACGACTCACAAGTCAATGATATGCTAACATGCTTCACTCAGACTCAAGAACCTGCCTGTTATGACACATTGCAGTCTTTTCCAAGTGTAAGCAGTTACAATTCAACAGTGGTAACAGATATTGAACACGATCCAAATAATATACGAATAAAACGTGGAGATGCTGATGGAGAAGGGACTCAGGATAGAGACTGTATGCAAGAAAAACCAAGACGACCCCTCAACACTGGATATGAGACTGTACACATTCGAAGAGACAGTGACCACCCCATAAAAATTCCAGAGTATGAAACAGTTCGAAACCTTCAACAGATGGCAGCAGATTCCACATATGAAACTGTTCAGTCAAATGGATCCATTAGTAGCCTGAGTAAATCCAGAAACAGGATATATCGTTCTGTTCCATCTGCATTAAAAATATTCCTTCAGCCATCTTCAAAACCATCTGAATCAGAGCTCTGTGATGGGGCAGTTCCTGCAGAGATAATGGCTCTGTATGCTCAGGTGGATAAGACAAAGAAACGCAGATATCGTTCTGATGTGCCTAATAATTCAGAGGCTAACCATATAACTGGAAATAATGTTTCTAGTCAGACTGATGAAGACTGTGAGCCTGCACAATATCCTGTGAGTAACATCATGTGTGTTTCGCAGGATTCATGCAGCTCAGTGGTATGGAATGGAAATTCCACAGATTGTGCTCCAAACATATTGCAAGATTGTAGTTTATCATCCCCCAGTAGACGACCATTACCATCTGTACCCAATATTCGCTTCCTACGCACATCACAAGATAGTGAACCCCCAAATCAGGCACTAGAGTGTGCCCAGTTGTGACTATATTTATATATATAGTGAATCTTAGATGTGATACCCCTATTTGTTTGGTGGTGAAGAACATCTGTGATGTGAATATTCAGAAACAGTGATAAGTGGCAGCACTGTTTGTGGTCAGTTGATCCTGCCATTTAATATCGTAACTGTTATGTGTTTTATCATCTTGGGTCAGGCATCCAATGATTGAATCCTGTTGTATTTTATAAGGAAGCAAAATATTTATGGTGCATGAACATAATTTGGATTTTCATGACTAATTTAATTAAAGGATTATTATGATCCTGTGGCATGCATTATCAAGAATTTTAATTTAGATGGTGTTTGGAGAGTCTTTCCCTTATACTACAATAATGGCACACAGAATAATTGTCCCCTTGTTTCTTCTGTCAGTTTTAGTCTCAGCATAAACACATACTGTATGAGTTGCCATCCACAATTGGTAAAGGAGTTCAAATTTGTTTAAAGCAATTCGTAATTATGTAAGATTTGAGGTTTTCACGGCGGTGACTATGAAGAAAACAGTCTTCTGGGATTTTGCACCGTGTATATGTGGTGTTAACCGACGTTTCGGAGGAATGTATCCCCTCCATCTTCAGGGTAGAAGGAAAAATATAAGAAATCCCCAGGCGAAGAGACCGTGAGAACCGGTACAAGCAGACTGGTGTTGGAAATATACACAGCTATGTGAGAGCAGTGAAGGAAGCAGGGAAGCCATTGAGATTGAACTACATCCCGAAAATATGAACAGAGAAGGGGGGTTTTGTCTCAGCAAGTCATGGAAGCCTCTCATCTGTTCTCTTAAAAAACGCCCCCGGGATATGACGCCAGATCCAGAAGGCTACACAGGCCAGGACCGACTAACATAACAACCCACACTCCCACCCCACCCTCCCAGCTTAAGGGTTAGTGCCCATCCTTTAACCTTGTCTTTCTCTCACCCAACACAAAACCCTGC